ACACGTCGAAGTTGCAACCACAGTCTGTTTCCGGGAACTCCAACTGATCGCTCCACCGCAGAACTTGAAAACATATCCGCTGGTCGACTTGCGAGAGTCTGAACAACCGGCCCAGTCAGCATCACTGAAGCCGAACAACTCCGGCGATTTCGATTTATTGTCAAACACGATTCCTAAGTTTCGAGTCCCTTGCACGTATCGCATTACCCGTTTCACACCTGCCCAGTGTGACTCACATGGGTTGGCAGAATGTTGAGAAAGCTTTCCAATCGCATATGCCAAGTCTGGACGAGTGCCAACCATCAAGTACATCAGGGATCCCACTGCCTCACGATACGGTGCTCCGGATTCGGCGTCGCTCTAGGTTGAGCGTGGCCGCCAGCGACGACAGCGCCGCCGCGGTCGCCAGGATGGCCGAGTTGTCGCCCTCCAGCACCACCTCGCGGTACGCCTCGGGCCAGTCGAGCGAGACCAAGTCGTCGTCGAACGGGAGGAAGCCCAGCGGCAGCGGCGCGACGGGCACGTCGGACAGAAGCGCCTCGTGCAGGATCTTTTCGACGATGTTCGAGCGGCGCGGCGTGGTCAGCACGAGAAACTTGACGGCCGACTGCGCGGGGGCTTGTTGCGCCGCAGGCTGGGACGAGGCCGTTGTGACGGCATCCGGGGCGTCGCGCGAGGCGGCGTGGCGGCGCACGGCGCGGATAGCGGTGACGGCGTCACGCGCGGCCGCGGCGTTGACGCCGCGGATGAGGACGACGACGGCGGGGTGCTGCGCGAGGGCGTCCGCGTGCGCGCGGTGGCGCGAGAGCGGCGCGATGTGGCGCACGCCGTGCTCGGCGAGGAAGGGCTCGTCCGCGAATAGGTCGAGCGGGGACACGACGGCGAGGCGCGCGACGTAGAGCGAGTCGTCGACCAAAAGCGACTTGGGGCCGGGCAGTGCCGAAAGGGAGGAGGCGAGCACGCGCCGCGCGTCGGCGCGCAGGAGGCGCTGCGCGGGCGCGGCGTGCATCTGGCAGGGAGCGGTGGCGGAGACGGTTGAGGCGATAGCGGAAGCGCCCTGAGATTGGTGTCATGAGAAACGGGGGACGTTAATTGCAAGGCCAGTTGGGTAAGACATAAATTCCGACTGCCAGACTTGCAGTTCGGGACCCTCTTCGGGTAGCGCCCCCACCCCCACCACGCCCGAGCCCCCCCATTCCCTCCTCCCCAATTCCGCCTCTTCTCCTGGTCCCCGCACACGAGCGGCCCGCGCCGCCTCCGCCACTCCCGCATGCCCCCGCACATACGCCTGCAAACTTCCCTCCGCCGCTGGTACCACTCCATCATGTCAGCCGCGCAAGACACCCTCCCCCTCTTCACTCTCGACGGCGGCCCGCCCTCGCCGCGCCCCCACTCCCTCCCCTCCTCCTTCCTGCGTCTCGCGCGCGGCAGCCTACCCCTCTGGCTCCTCTCCTACCTCCCCCTCTCGCCGCAGGGCGCCGCGCCCGCGGAGCCCGAGACCCTCTCCCTCGAGTCGCGCGTAGTGCCGCTCGGCGCGTGCGCCTTCGCCGACGGCGTCGTCCAGCGCGGCCGCTGGATCCGCAATGTCGACGCCGCGCTCGCCGGCGTGGAGGGCGCGCGCGGCGGGAATGCCGTGTGTAACCAAAAGTATAACTTTCTGTCTTTCCTCCCGCTCGTCCTGTATGAGCAGTTCCGTATGTTCTACAACCTCTTTTTCCTCCTCGTCGCTTGCTCACAGTTCATACCGGCCCTGCGCGTCGGCTTCTTCTGGACGTACTTCGGGCCGCTGGTCTTCGTACTCCTCGTATCCGTGTCCAAGGAGGCCTTCGATGACCTTGCCCGCTTCCAACGCGACCGCAAGTTGAACATGTTTGCGTATTCGTTGCTGCTCCCGGATGAAAACGGCTCGGCGCATACTGTCCGCATCCCCTCCCAGGACATTCGCGTGGGCGACGTCCTCATACTCGACACGGACGAGCGCGTCCCGGCCGACTGCGTCTTGCTGCGCGTCGTGTGCCCGGAGGATGACCATTCGCCCGCAGTGAAGGATAGGACGGATGCGGCGCCGTCGGCGGGGCAGGGAGACACCCTATTTATTCGCACCGACCAGCTTGATGGCGAGACGGACTGGAAGCTGCGCCGCGCCGTGGCGGGCTCGCAGTCGTTTATGAGGGATGAGGATATGCTATATAGCCACTACCAAATCGAAGCAGAGGCTCCAAAGAAGGAGATTTACGACTTTGTCGGTACCTTTGTCGACCCAAACGATCCGTCCGGGAACAAGGAGCCGCTCACCTTGGAAAACACTCTCTGGGCAAATACCGTCGTGGCATCCGGGAGAGCCATCTGCGTCGTTATGTATAATGGAGACGAGACGCGCAGCATGCTCAACACATCGTCGCCTCGAAGCAAGATTGGAAAGCTCGACCTCGAGGTAAATCGCATGTCCAAAATGCTTTTCTTCCTGCTCTTCTCCTTGTCTGCGTTGCTCACGGGCTTGCGGGGCTTCTCGGGGCAGTGGATATTGTACTTTTGCCGCTACTTTCTTCTCTTGTCGGCCATCATTCCTATTTCCATGCGCGTGAATTTGGACATGGCTAAGATTGCCTACACAACGTTTATTGAGAACGACAGCGAGAAGATGCCTGGTTGTACAGTTCGAAATTCTAATTTGCCGGAGGAGCTCGGACGCATTGAATACATTCTCACAGATAAAACGGGGACGTTGACGCAAAACGAAATGTCTTTCAAGAAGCTACATCTGGGAACAATGCTGTTTGCCAGAGACTCTCTCGAAGACATCTACCAGTACGCCAAGGCAGCGTTCCAACACGACGCCGCGGATCGCGCGAACACGGAGTGGAATGAGACCACCGCTGACAACCGCATGGTGCCTATGACGAGCGATAACATCAGCCGAAGCTCCAGTGGATACGGATATGGACGCGACGTCGTAAAAGGGAGGCGGACCCATAAGCAGATTCAGGAGGCGCTGCTGGCAATCGCTCTTGCTCATAATGTCACTCCTGTCGAAGATGCTGGTCAAAGAACGCTTCAAGCTGCCAGCCCAGATGAAGTTGCGCTAGTTACGTTCGCCGAATCTGTCGGTATCATATTGAAGGAAAGATCCATGAGTCGAGTGATTCTAAAGGTGCCAGGAAACTTAGAGCTCAGATACGATATCCTTGCTGAATTTCCGTTCACATCTGCCGCGAAGCGAATGGGAATCATAGTCAAGGAGCGCCATACAAACGTTATCACCTTGTTCGTGAAAGGTGCTGACACAACTATGGCCAAGAAGGTACGATACAACGACTGGCTTGATGAGGAATGTGGTAATTTAGCGAGAGAGGGGTTGCGCACACTGGTATATGCCAAACGCGAACTCTCCATCGCTGATTACGAATTGTTTGCAGACAGATGGCAAACAGCTCGTACTTCGTCAATAAATCGAAAGGAGTATATGGCCACTGTGCAAGAGGAGATTGAACAAGACATGGTTCTACTTGCCCTTACGGGCGTTGAAGATAAGCTGCAGCCCAATGTCCGGGAATCTCTGGAGAAGCTTCGACACGCTGGCATTCGAATATGGATGTTGACTGGAGACAAAGTAGAGACGGCGACCAATATTGCTGTTTCGTCGAGATTGGCAGAACGGTCACAGGGGATCTTCACCATCACCGGCATGACAGGACGAAATGAGGCCAGCCGCGCCCTGGCCAGGTTTCGACGGGTAGCTAGCACTGACGTCCTTGTTGTGGATGGCACGTCTTTGCAAATATACTTGGATATGTTTCCAGAACAGTTTATCGAATTGGCGGCAATGGCTCCGGCCGCGGTGGCATGTCGATGCTCACCAACACAAAAAGCTGCAGTGGTCCAGCTTCTACAAACGCAACTAAACAAACGAGTTGCAGCGATTGGAGACGGGGGCAACGATGTGGGCATGATCCAGCAGGCTCATGCTGGGATTGGGATTCCTGGGAAGGAAGGAATGCAGGCTTCGTTGGCAGCAGATTTCAGTATCACGTCATTTTCGCATCTGACGCGGCTGCTCCTCTGGCATGGTCGAAACTCGTACCGTCGCTCTGCTCGCTTGGCGCAGTTTGTAATCCATCGGGGTCTAATTATTTCAATCATCCAAACCGTGTACTGTGCCTTATTCTTCTATGCAGCCGTGAGTGTTTACTCTGGATGGATTCTTGTCGGATACGCAACTGTATTCACTATGTTTCCCGTGTTCTCCCTCATTCTGGATGAAGATGTGAACGAACATGCGGCAGACACGTATCCCGAACTGTACAAAGACCTGCAAAAGGGAAGGTCGCTGAACCTAAAAACTTTTCTCATCTGGGTGTTCAAGTCTATTTACCAAGGCACTATGATCATGGTGTTCTCAGTGTATGTGTTATGGGATGATGAATATTTCACGACCCTCCACCTGAGCGCGATCTCGTTCACCTCACTAATATTAACTGAGTTACTGATGGTGGCCTTTGAGGTGCACCGATGGCACTGGATGATGATCGCAGCTGAGGCGTGCAGCTTATTATGCTACGTGGCGTCCATATTCATCTTGCAGGACACTTTCGACCACTCGCTCATTTTTCAATGGGGCTTCCTCGGCAGAGTAATAGCGGTAACCCTCGTGTCTTGTGTGCCCGTCACAATAGGGAAGTGGCTGAAGCGTAAATTCGCGCCGGCGCCATATTCAAAACTGGCGTAGATAGTTCTTGCGATATGCATTGCGAGCCATGGACGAGGTGCGCGCTTCGAGGATAGAATAGCAGTTGTTGAAGCTGCAGCGATGGATTCGCCACGTGGTAAAATTACACGAGAATAGTGGATGGCTTTCACACGCACTAAACGTTTCCGAGGGAAGCATTTCTATCCGATGCAGAGTTGACGAAAATGTACACATGCAATTCCGAAAAGCATCTGCTTCTTTCACCAGCCCGCAGGTGCAATATCGTTTGCCGAAACAGTGGACGTGTCCATCGACTAGAGATCACACCGTACAACGCTGCGAGTAGCGTGCAAAGGGAACCAAGTAGCAGTATCACACCTGCAGACTTGACATGAATGCCAGGTTATGTATTTGGCCAGTGAGGTAGTGTTCTGCACCTTCAGTTTGCAGGGAAGTGGAACGCGTTGTGGACGACATTAGGGATGATGGTCAGTCCTGAGAGGTGGCCTACTGCGGTGGTCTTTGTAGGACAGGAGCAACAAGCCGCCCCCCCCCCCATTCTATTTATTCATTTGCACGCATTGCGATGCACCAGAGACTCAATAAGGCCGAGAGTACGCTGGCCTCACACAAGAGTCCAACAACTTTAGAGGAGGCGAGAGGAAAATATGAATAATGGTGGAATGATGCCGTATGCGCCCAAAAGCCGCAAAAAGTTTCTTTAGAGCGTTGCAGGTGTATCTGGTTTTTGAAATAGAGGCTGAATATTTGGATACCACAGCGCACTTAACGGGAGATGTGTTCGTGCCTCTGTTGTGGAAATTGAGATGTTATGTGTGGCTGCGGAGGGTACGCATATGAGAGCACCGTCTGATGGAACAGCTCCACTATCTCCCTTTCACCATCCCAAGAAAGGCAGGGTGAACGAAAGTGTGGACTACCCAGGTCAACACCAGGAGCGGCGCATGATGGTCCTTGGATACACGCCATTGAGATTGTGCATTTGCCGTAGATAGAGACTGTCCAGCTTTCAATGCACTCGTGACATAGCCAATATCGGGACTGAATTAGCCATGGAGCGTGGCTTATCGGAAAGAAATATCCGGGGCGTAAAGTGGCTATAAGGTCAGGCGGTGGTTGCCTCACTTCCTGAATGGTGCGCTGCGCATACACAAAATCGGTAGAGGCTACAGTATATACAGGTGTGTAACGCTGAGACTCCTATTCCTTTTCTCACTTCATAGTGTACTATCTGCTGCTCTGCGATTGATGCTTGCTAAAACAGTACATGAGGTGCGCAAACATGCAATAATTGTACAATGACCAAAACTTCTGGTCAATCTATACTTATCTAGTCCAGAAGATTATGCAGCATGGCAAAGAGATTTTCAGTTCAGAGCAGTGTAGTGAAGAGGCGAGTTGCATCATTTACATGTTGGAGGGAATCTACAAACTGAAGTGCAAGAAACGTCCCCATTTGCACATTTCAACTGACTAAATGCGTACTGTTAGCTATGAGAGAAAGATCGATGAGAGAAGTGGCTGTTAGGAGTAACTCAATGCAATGAACAAAGAAATAATCATAGCATCCCTTGAACATGGAGCTTTCTACTAGTGCATACGCGGGAACGAGCGTGCATGTCAAATTTTCCGCAACAGCCAACTCAGCCTGTGGAAAGGCGGCAGTCCACTGCTTTTTTGGCGGACAGAAAGCGATAGAGCTGGATGCACATACTGTGTAAACGCGAGATGTTGGCTTGTGGATAGATCTTCTCGTTTGCAATAAGACTTGGACTAGCGATGGGCACCGATATCATACAAATTTGCATTACGATACACGGGTTTTAGCTCTCTGTTTACAATTGCTTCCGTTCACTTCTTTGACACATACGCACGCGCGAAAGAGCTCATGTTTCTTTCGTGAGCACGGATCAAGATTTTTTTCTGCCTACTCTCTATCCATTCTGGGCTATATACTGGTGAAACAAGGGGGCATCCTATTGGGGTTCGAGTTGAAGACCTCACCGGAGAGATATAAGAATGTGTGACGAAGATAGACCAGGTATCACTGGATGTGGTCATTCAGAAGGTCGCTGTGTGCCTGCTTTTTCTTTCACACTTCAAATCGGAATCAGCCCTGCTTGACAGGTCTCCTCAAGCTCCATTTTCAATAGGTTTGCACTCCGTTCCAGTACTTTCTGAGCGACATCTTCATCCCTTGGCTTGGCTTTATTATCCATCACATCGCCGCGATATACCTACTGTTATGGACATGATGATGATGCAGCCATTCAGCCCTCTCGGAGGTGGCTTCGGTTACCCTGGGGGCATGGGCATGGGTTTCAGGGGATCCAGGGGCTATGGAGGTCCTGGTGGTCTCGATTTTGGCCATCCTGGTGCTATGATGAGGTCTCCTATGTCGCGCATGGCGATGGGTTTGAATTTCAGCATGTCTCCCACTGAAGCATGCCAACGCATGATCTTAGCATGTAATCATCAACGTTGGCACATCGTTCAGGCTCTTCTCGAACTATATGAGGACGTTCTTGTTGATGTTCGAAGCATCGGCCCATATGACGGCACTCCGCTTCATGCAGCCGCCACGGCAGGGCAGACGGATATCATGGTTTTGCTTATGAGCTACGGTGCTGATATCAACGCTCCCGCACAACTTGGCTACACTCCGCTCTTCATGGCTGCTTCTAATTCCCGCCCAAACGCGACAAGACTTTTGCTTCAGGCCGGTGCCGATCCAGATCCTGTCTGTGCCCAAGGCGTCACCCCTCTCTTTGCTGCTGTTGATCGTTGTGCGGTCCAGGTCGTTCAGATCTTGCTTGATGGTGGAGCATGTCCTTTTGCCAGAAATGGAATGGGAGATGAACCACTTCATATCGCAGCCAGACAAGGGCAAGTTGAGATTGCCCAAGCACTTGTTGAGGCTGGCGCCAACATTCATGAGATTGGGGCGCAGGGAATGCCTGCCTATGCCCTAGCGATCAGTTCTGGCTTCCCTGAACTCGGAGAGATGCTCAGAACCGGGGTCATTCCGCCTCACCTGAGATTGGAGCATGGAGGGGTTGGGGTTACGGGTCTGGAGGGCGCTCTGGTACCATATGCTGGCGGGTTTGGTCTTGGTTCAATGATACCATACAACAGATTCGGTATGGGTTCAACGATGCTATACGGTATGGGCGCAATGATGCCGTACGGCCGGTATGGTCACGGTCGACATGGAAGCCTCTTAACAGGTTTCGGCCAACAAGGCGCATTCGGAATGGGGCCGTACGATGGTGGGTTTTACGGAAGTCATGCTCTGGACCTCGCGCACCCAGATATGGGGATGGGAATAGGAATGGGAGGGTTAGGTACGGTGTATGACGGTATGTATGGGGGACATGGATATGGCGGATACGGAATAGGCAGTCTGGGAGGTTTAGGTGGGATGGGAATGCTTGGTAGTGGCCTGGACCTAATGTCTGCTACTCCGTACAACGCGATGATGCTTCCGGGTACTGGATTAGACATGGTGTATAATCAGAATTATGGACTCGGAGATCATCCAGGCTACGGAAGCTATGCGTATGGTCTCGGACATAGGATGCCGCATGGAATGGGACATATGTCAGGATTTCATCGTTCAATGATGCCATCAGGACATGGAAGTGGGCTCGGTATGCATCCCAGTCGCAGCATGATGGGACTCAGCGGATATGGCCACGGGATTTTCGGGATGGCTGGGATGGGGCATGGGAGATACGGAAGTGTCATGGAACCACGCGGCTATGGGGGTATGCACGGCTTCGGCAGGTTCGACCGACACAGTGGACATGGAAGTGACGGATATAGAATGCGTGGCGGTAGGAGGGAAAGACGACATGCAGCAGAGGATTTGGCGGGGGCACTTGTTGACCACATTAGTCGAGGGAACCGACTTAGGTCCAGTGAGAAACAGAAGCTGTTCAAAAGAATTGTTCGGAATTCAAGGAACACTCGCATAGACATGGCGACCGTGACTCATGGTGACACTAGCTCAGACACTTTGGCTAGTATACTCATGACAGATTCGCATGGCCACGTTCAACGGGATGACGTATTTCAAAGCATTCTGGAATTTATCAGGTCTATGCGCGACAACGTAGTTGCCACTTTCGCGGAGTAAGAGGAGACGCTCTGAAGTATCTATACGTCAAGATTTCCTGGCATGTTTCATTGAATGTAGAAATTTGTTAACCTCATTGTGGGAGTTGCATAATGCCGACAACGTTTGGCTTAGCGAGAGCGATTTTTATTCATGATGGTCGCCGATACAATATAAATAGAGAAGATGGTAAATGCAAGCAATCGTAAATTCTCAATACTACCTTGATAGTCCCCGAGTCTGAGAAATTAGCAGCTTACCCTTTTTTTTGCAAAGGAGAATGGCACTTTGATGTAATAAGAGAGGGAGAGAGTCGCCACTCTGCATAGAAAATTCATGAAATGAACAATGCAGCATCAGTAGCGTATGGGTCAGAATATATCCACTCTTCCTGCCTATAATACTCTAGACACTAATACTCTTTGAAACCCTTGAAACGGGGTTCGATATTGTGTTTCCAAGCTATGTGCTGGTCTGTAAAGCTCTAGAGACCTAATAAACAACAAAGTCAACACTTGTTCTCCAGAGTGCAGATAGGAATACAACAAAAAACAAACAAACATGAGCGTCCAACAAGATTTCTAGAAGAGAGGAATTTGTCCAGGTACATGCAAGAACTGGTACGGAAGACGTCCTCTCAAAAGATTAAAGCGATGAGACCAGGAAACCCCTTCTTTTCTTTTTGCAAATATACTGAACGTGCTGCAGAAAAGATGATCAAAATATACATGTGTGTGTGTGTGTGTGTGTGTGTGTGTGTGTGTGTGTGTGTGTGTGTGTGTGTGTGTGTGTGTGTGTGTGTGTGTGTGTGTGTGTGTGTGTGTGTGTGTGTGTGTGTCATTCGATTCCCATGCATTCCCCTGACAGTTACTCATCGGAGTGGCATTATACTATTGCCTGCATGGATTCTTTTAAACCACTCAGAAGATGTTTTTTTATTTTAGCTTCTCACCATGACAGCCTTGCCAGCTCCCCTAAGAGGCTGGAATCGGAACAGGCCCAAAAAAAAAAAAAAAATCAAAAGATAGGGAGAGAAAGAGAGAGGAACACATACTAAAGTGAAAGGCTGTTTATTCTGACTCCCCTTGAATTCAGATGACCGTTTCTTGTACAATTATTGTCTTTTAGTGTCTTCACTGCAGTGCAAAGGAGATCACAGAAGATTAACTTCTATTGTGAGAGTGTTCTGTAAGGAACGAGTAAAGGAACTGCTGCCGAAAACAATTGGGTATGGCAACTACAAAGCTACTTTGCGCGCGAGCTATGTTCTGCTTTCACACCGCTTTGGCTTCTTGGCTTTTGTCTGAGGTACTTCATTCTGTGTGCAGGGGTGAGTCGAGATTTTACACAATACGATTGTTTCCACGGCACGGAAATAAAGTTTCGTTTTAGAAACGTTAATTTTTTGCCATGATTTTGGCTTCGAAAATACTCGAAAACCATCCTTTCAAGTTTACGGCGGCCTCCACCTACGCATCTCTTTGACCCGCTGCTCGAAACGGCGTCGCAGCTCGCCCTTGACTCATAGATGCTGGGTGCTTCACTTTCGGCAGAGATTACACCGCGTTGCAGCGCCATTTTCATGCACCACCCATGATGTCATCTGGAACCGCCCTCCCGACAAGCCTGTTCGTCGGCAACTTGGACGCTCGTGTCTACCGTGAATTACTGGAGGAAGTCTTCAGCCTAGGCGGCAAAGTGACGCAATGTCATGTTGTATTTGACAAAGCGAGGGGAGTAAGCAGCGGGTTTGGATTTGTGGACTACGAAGACAATGCGACGGCGCAAGCAGCCATGGATAAGTTTAGAGGCCGCAGCATATATGGCAAGACACTCACGATTGACTGGGCTCGCGCGTCCGCGAGGGACGGTAGTGGGAAAGCTGATGAGTCGGCGGCCTACTGCTTGTTCGTAGGGAACCTTTCACCGGACGTGTCTGATGAGCAACTGCTTGCCGCATTTCGCGAGTTTGGGTCTTGCATGTCTGCGAAGTGCACGAAGGATCCTGTCACGAACAAAACGCAAGGTTTTGCCTTTGTCTCGTTTCAGACTCTATCAGATGCATCTCTCGCCATGGAGGCCATGAATGGGCAAGTACTCAGCAACCGGTCGCTTCGCGTTGAATGGGCAAAGGGAAAGACAAACGCGGCGGTGCGAGCCGGGGGAATTGATGGAGCGGAGGCTGATGGTATGGGCATGCCTTCATCGCGAGGTGGATTCAATTCGGATGACCGAAAGACAGGCGCGGATTCTGACAAGCCGCTTCTGAGCTTTGAGGCAATTGTTGCACAAACGTCTCTAAACAACATTACTGCGTACGTGGCCGGGTTGAAAGTCACTACCCCGGAAGCGAGTATTCGGGAAGCCTTTTCACGGTTTGGTGAGATTCGCGAGATTCGCATTCCAGAAAGCATCAAAGCACAAGCAACGGAGACTATGTACGCGTTTGTACGCTACCATGAGCATGAGTCGGCTGCAAGGGCAATCTTCGACTGCCAGCGAGGGATTGAGGTCGATGGCAAGATTGTGCAGGTGCATTGGGGTCGCGAAAGTGCTCGCCGCGCGCCCATGGGAGGCATGAACAGAGGTCCAGTGGGAATGATGCCGGGGTACCCGGGGGGATATCGCGGGCAACAACAGCACCCCGCACCATACCACACCCAGCCATACGCTGGTAGGATGTCATATGGAGGGCAGCCGTATGGCCGGGCGCCTGGACCAGTGTATCACCAACCGCACGTCGGAGGGCAGCATCGGTACCGCCCGTACTAAGGAGCTACATGATAATTGATGCGGCGCAGTGATTGTCACCGTTTTTATTCTTTGTGCATGATATGGTACAAGCTTTGAAGGCAGCACCTTTTTGTGTCCTATAACGTCAAACTCAGTTTGCCATGATTGCGGATGCTGCTGGAACCGGCCGCGAAATATTGCGCTGCATATCATTGCTCCCGATTGAGACGCTTTCAAATGCTTGCTCCCCAGAACTACTGAGACCAGGGTTTTCATTGAAGCAGATGTCAAAAACTTCATCGTAGTGAGACGCGAAGTGAGGTGTGATATCCTTCGCCACATGAGATGGAAGGTCATCCCAGTCCTTCCGATTGCCATCGGGTAGGATCACGTGTTCAACACCAGACCGTTTGGCGGCAATCACCTTTTCCTTGATACCCCCAACGGGAAGGACTTGACCAGTTAGAGTTACTTCTCCTGTCATGGCTACATTTTGCCGAATGGGCTTGTTCAATGCCAATGAAAGCAAAGAGCTGACCATGGTGCAACCGGCGCTAGGACCATCCTTTGGAGTCGCTCCCTCTGGGACATGCATGTGTAAAGCACATTCCTCAAAGAATTGGTTGTCAGGATGGAGCTGCTTGATGTAGTTTCGTGTATATGAGAGTGCGATTTCCGCGCTTTCCTTCATGACATCTCCCAGTTGTCCTGTGAGTTTCAATGTAACGGTCGTGGCTCCACCGCCTTTGATTTGCAAGGCTTCAATATATAGGGTAGCGCCTCCCATCGAAGTCCATGCGAGCCCAGTAGCAATCCCCGGCGGAGTTTTATCGTACAGCCGGTCTTTAGCGAACACCTTCTTGCCAACGTATTTGTCGAGATTTTCAGCGGTGATGTCAATTGGTTTGGCCTCGCTCTCGGAAACTGTTTTCTCCTTCTCATCAGTCGATTTGCTTGTTTTGACAAGCTTGAGCGCGACCTTCCGGAATATCTTTTCAATGTGCTGCTTGAGGTTTCTTACGCCTGCTTCACGGCAGTAATCTCTTGCGAGTGAACAAAGAGCATCTTCACTGAGTGTCACGTCCTTTTCTTCCAAGCCAGCTTCTTCCCTGGCAACGGGAACAAGGTATTTATCTGCGATGGCCATTTTCTCCTCCAAAATATATCCGCTAAGTGGGATAGATTGCATTCTGTCCAGAAGAGGTGCTGGGATAGTATCCAAAACATTCGCAGTACAGATAAAGAGCACTTTCGACAAATCAATGGGAAGGTCGAGGTAGTGATCCACAAAGCCAGAGTTCTGTTCGGGGTCTAAAGCTTCTAGTAAGGCTGACGACGGGTCACCAGTCCACCCTCTTCCCATTTTGTCAATTTCATCGATCATTATAACGGGATTCGCAGCTTTGGCGTTCTTGAGAGCTTGAACAAACTTTCCAGGCATAGCACCGACGTAAGTGCGTCGATGGCCCTTGATTTCTGCTACGTCACCCATACCCCCAACGGAAAACCTGTAAAACTCTCTGTTGAGTGCTTCCGCAACGCTCTTTCCGATGCTTGTTTTCCCTACACCAGGGGGGCCGGAAAGCAGCAGAATTTTGCCTTGTACATTTCCCCGCAGTGCGCTGACAGCGATGAACTCTAAAATGCGTTCTTTGACGTCCTTCAAACCGTAGTGCATTTTGTCGAGAACAACTTCCGCCCTTCCGATATCGAGCGAATCTTTGCTGTACACTCCCCACGGCAATTCAGTAAGCCAATCGAGATAGTTACGGGTGACATTATATTCCGAGCTTGAGGGTTCGAGGCTGCCCATTTTGTCCATTTCATCATTGACGACGCTGGACACATTCTCCGGAACAACTTTGCCTTCAAGTCTCGTTTTGAATTTGGTGAGCAACGTCTCCTTTTCGTCGCGTTCCATCCCCAATTCCCGCTTGATCTGTTTCATTTGCTCTGTCAAAAAGTAGCGTCGTTGCGACTTGGACACGTTCTCCTCGATCTGCTTATGAATGCGGCGGGACACTCTTGTGGTTTCGAGGTCTTTTTTCAAAAGCTCGAGCGTTAGGCGCAAGCGTTCCGCGATATCTGTTTGCTCCAAGACGTCTTGAAGAGACGCAGGGTCGGCCGTAGTAAGACAAGCGCCGAGGTCTGCCAGGTGGTAGGGGTTATTCACATCGACACTTTCAAGCAGGAGCTCGAGCTGTTCTTTGTAAAACGAGCCTAACCGAAGCAATTCCTTCATCGTCTCAATGACGCTCAGCGAATATGCCTTGATCAAATCCGAGGAAACGTCCGCTGGGGGTTCCTTGATAGGTTCTGTCGCCAGCGTAAGCAACGGGTCTTTCGACACAACGGAGTTCCAGCGAATGCGATGGTGGCATAGGAAGGTCAACTCGACGCCTTTCTGCCTCGGGGCGAGGCGAATGACCTCCGCAAGCACGCCGACGCGATGCAATTGGTCGGGGTCATTGAATGGAAGAGTATGTTGGTCGTTCGGGAGCATATCAATGCCCGCCTGCTTGTGCAGGAAGAGACCGACGTGTCGCAAGCCTGTATCACGCAATGAGATGAAGGCCTTGCAGGCGTCCGGATCGTGGACGATGATGGGGGCGATGATCTTCGGAAAGTGCGGGCGCGTGAAGAGGGGGATGGAGAGAAGGTCCTGTGGCTCCATGACTGGGCGGCGGCTGACGACCGACTCTGCAGAAGACTTGGAGGTCGGCGAGGGGGTGGGAGGGACGATCAAGTCGGAGGAGGAAGAGGGTGGATCGGAGTCGGAGGAGTTGGACGAGTTGGAAGACGCGCAGAACTTGCGGTGGAGGGGTACCGGGAGGAGAGTTGAAGGTATGGCCTTCAGTCGCGGCGCGGCCCGTGCATGGCGCGAGATAGAGTAGAGATGTCGGAGCATTGTGAGGCTTCTGAATTGGGCAGGTGATAGGCGAGTATAGCTGTGTAAACAGCTGCGATGACATGCAGACAGGATCTGTACAGGCCTGCGCGGGGGTGGCTGCGATCGAGAGCGGTTGAGGGAGCAATTGTCAGAAGAAGTGAAGAGAAAGAACGGCAACGGCTGTGGCTGCGGTGGGAGGTGAGGAGCGGAATTGTTTGATCGGGCTCCACAAAAAGGCTCAACGCGAGCAGCCGCCGTGCCCTGTCACCAACTGGAAGATGCGCCGTGCGTGCCACTATAGTACTTCTGATTGGGTTATAAATACACGTGTTCGCCGATCAATGGCTGCTCTGGCAGTTGCCACTTGAAGGCCATCGTCTACTGCTCGTTCCTTGACGCTCTGGTGCGCTGCAATGGAGCAGGCAAAGACCGCTGGCGACTCCCGTTTGCACCTGGTTTGGGGACGTCGGGTGCGGTGCAATACGGTGCAGATAATCAAAAAAGGCTTAGATGACGCCAGCGCCGGCTCCTGGGGAAACATCCTGGACGCAATCCACGCGTGCAGGCACATTGCGCCTCTCGGTAGAGGGAAGCATTGACATATGGAACTCAAGGAATATACTGTACACCGCATCTTCCGCGACGGACTAAATACCACTTGTTGCAGCGAAGCAGGAAGAGAGGCATCATGCAACACATACGTGCAGTATGTGCCTGGTACAGTATGAGAGGCCGTTCAGTATAATATCGGTCCAGCTCCAGACCTTAATCCTCTTTTGCGAACTGTGAACTCTAAATAATTCGTCACGTCAATACTGTTCCTTGCTCCCTGGTTGTGCCGTCACTTCGCCTTCGTCTGCTCTCATCGCTGCTCTGCGAGGGACGAGAAGAACCCCACATATAAACTTTAGAGGGTACTGTAGTGAGCTTCTACAATATACCTTATCATACCAAGGGTACTGTATTCTCTCAACCGAATGAAATGTGAGAGTTTGTTGGTCGGCAACTGATGACGAACTAAGCTATACAATCGTAGTATGACAAACGCGCGAAGACCCCTACAATTGTTAAGAGCAAGGCAACCAGTGCGCTTATTTATAGCGCACATTTTTAGCCATGCAGCGCTCTAAAGAGTGCGCAACACAACAACTGCGTCGCCATATGTGACGGCCCGCAAGGGGTCGAGTATTAGTTTTTCCCAAGTTTTTCGCCAAGACAAGGGGTCTGAATCACGGCGCATATAGCACTCGAAAGATGATTGGTTATAGTGATTATGAAATATCGATGAATTCTGAGTGATCGCGTGCTATATCCATTTCTATCCTGCGCCAGGAAAGAAACGAATATAGAGATAGGTGCTTCCAGATAGCAACCGAAAAAAGCGATTAGCGCACTAGTTGACATGCCAACAGGGGAAAATCTCTAAAATTTCGAAATTTAGCGCACTGGTTGCCTTGCTCTAACAATTGTTAACAATTGTAGGGGTCTTTAACAATATGGGAAATCGGAGACTAACATTGGTCTCGGATATCCCATATTGTTGCTGATGACTTGTTTGGTGTTGGCGGAAGATGCAGGGGCTTTCGCCAGCGACTGTGAAAGCCATGACATTGCTGTGAAATATGGACACGTGGCCAGTTGTATGGGAAGACATGGAAAAGAGAAGTCCCCGCACCTCAACCAGCACAGCACAGCACCGTCCTGTTGTGGAGCAGCACGTGGCGACGTGTACAACAGGACTGCGAACCGGAACGGGGATGTCGGCCCATGATAGGGAACCGAAACGCAAGAGTCCGACGGAAGAGGCGGATGAGGGGGTGCACAGTCGACGCCACCGGAGCGTGGCGAAAGGAAAGGGGAGAAAGGGAGGTGTCAGGCGGGGCAGAGAGAGACAGGGACGAAGGAGGGGGAGGCGAGGGGGGCAGAGTTTGCCATTTCGAAGGGCTGAAGATATTTACAGAAGTAGAAGAGGCTTTGCAGAGAAAATGAACGAGCGGCTTTCACGCTCTCACTCTTTTCGTCGTGACTAAAAGTGACCTTTGCTTGCGTAGCATTCCCGCTTTGTTTCCCAGGAGCCATCGACTGTTGCGACTGGAGCACCGATGGCTCTCTCCGTCGCAGTACTGTACCCAAGGGTACACGGTATGACACAACATTCTGCTACAGTACAATAAAATGAGAGAGCAAATCGAGGATGAGGTGCATTTCTGCAAGGACTAAATTTACTTTACTTTACTACAGTAGATGTACAGTATCTACGTGGGTGTTTCACAGAATGCATTGGAGAACCCGGGAGAAAAAGGAGTGCGGCATTTATCCCTGTGCCCTGTTGTAGACGATTCGACGTCACTATAAAAAGTTGACGGTTTTTGAGAGTTCTCAAAGTGACGGTCCGGCAACCGTCTCAAAGGGGCACAACTGTTTGAGAGGTCTCAAAATGTTTTATTTGATTGAGAACATTTTCGAGATGTCACCGCCGCCGTCGCCTTGTGCCAGTAATTGTGCCACGTATTGGGGATGGTTTTGAGATATCTCCTAAACCATCTCTTTCTGCTACTACTAGTAGCATGTTTTGTAGACCATATGCAGACTCTCTCTCGAGCATTGAGAACTCTCCTTCGGTGCGAGACGTCTTTCTTTCTTTCGGAGACTCTCCGAGTTTCGCCGATTCGTCAACTACCAATCTGCACAATCAATACTTTCTGACCCATTTTTGACGATCGCCTTCGCTATAATATATGTCGCGTCGTGATGTTTCCCCTGATGCGGATGCATACATGACTCAGGACTCGATTATTCCTGAAACTGAGCCTCCGCCCTCTCTTTTAACACTAACGCAGCCTGGTGCATTAGGAAGAACGTTGCCAAATCTGTCATCGCAACCTTCAAGCCGGCTTCCCTCTCTGAGCTTTGGCTCATCGCCGGGGATTTTTGATAGCTCCAGTATACCCTCATCACAATGTTCTCCAGTTCCATTCAATGGGTTTCCTGAGAGACAGCCAATCATTAGCTTGAATAATGCATCTCAGGTGAAGCATCAGACGCCAGGCGACAATGTCATACAGATGTATGAGGATAGGCTGGATAGCCAGGAAGTGGTGGAATCTTTGGATGGAAGCGACCTCCCTTTCTCACAGGAGTACCACAACGGCCCTGTTGACGCCACTTCAGACGCCAACGCAGATAGAAGTAGCTCTTCCTCCGCCATGGAGGAAGAAACGATTGTCTCTGTGTCTGAGCTGCAATCTTTGCAGCCCTTTCGTACATTTGTAACCAACCCTGGAGCCAATTTTTCTTCTGGTGGGGAGCTGTGTGAGGATCTTTGGAGTGGTGTGTTTCATAATTTTGATGAGGATCGCTGTGAACAGCCAGGAGAATATTTTGGGGACAGAGAAATTGCAGAGTGTGAAGCACAAGACGTTAACGACGATGAACTGGCAGCTCGAGCAGTCGGCCAGCAAGAAGGCGGCCTTGCTGAATGGGAATATGAAAGTCCGTTTTTGGAGTTCGATGTTACTGTCGACGAAGTGGATTCCATCCTGGAAGGGCGTTTCATTCAAGAAGCAAATTCTATTTTGGATAACGTGCTCTCTGAGCTCTCCAGTAGAGAGAGCGATGCCCATTGCTATGAAAATGAAACTAATGAGGCCAACGGATTGGGGGAAAACCAGAGAGCTGCCGGACCGCAACATTGCCGATTCTCCCTGACACGGCTTAACGCGCTTCAAATATTCTTACCCGACAGTCTTCTTGAAAAGTTAAAGTCTGTGGCTAATCGTTCACTGCATCATAGAGGTTTTGCTCCTACAACAAGTCAGGAGCTACTAGGTTTACTAATTCTTCATGTTCTTTGCGCATCTTATGATGAGGGCCCTAGCGTTGTATGTGATCCCAACGAAGAAGATTTTTTCTACTGTATGGGGATTTCAGCCGATAGGTATCGGCAGGTTTGGTCATCACTTACAGGTTGCAAAGAGAAACGAAGTGCAGTTGACTACACAGCCACTGGGTGGTGTCGTTCCGCAAACAGAGCGACATCTCTAATCACTGATATAGAGTCTGAGGTGGCCGCCGTGAACAGAGACTTACTCTATGTGCCTAATTCGACCGTCCTGTCGTTGGACGATGACTATTTGCGCATGGCCTCCAGAGCTGTTTCTCAACTTTCCTTTCTACAGCAGCACAATAATCCCAAGAAAGGGCTGGGTCCAGTCGGGAATACTTTAGGATCCGCTCTCACCTCAGTTTTCTTCGCATGCCATTTCACTCGCTGTGGTGAGAAGCTTGTGCACACGTGGGAGCGCCTCGTTCAACTACTGCAAGGCGCTTCCACGACAGGAGCACTGAGGCCAATGGCTGAAGCAATTTTTGCCGCGGACCGGGGTTACAACTCAAAGGAGACCCTCAAGTTTGTCTGCACTACTCTTGGCGCCACAATTTTGGGAACACATAAACGTGACCTGACGTATCCGTACGTCTTTGGAAGCGGTCTTATTTCTAGAAGGTCGAGGGTGTGGTATAACCCCAAACGCAAATTAGATTAGGATTGGATCAGGGACAGTAAGGCAACGAGCCTTACAGCCATGCGCGCACACACGTGTCCTCCACGTGTACGGGACGCGTACTACACGTGGACTGTCAGCCCCGCCGGCTGACAGCGCTACAGTGTCGGTAGACCGGCACTACTGTAGAGTTATGATAGACTACGATGTACATTAAATATAAGCGGACCGCCGGCGGTGGAGGACGACAAGCACGGACTTGTCAAGGATCCTCCACCTTGGTCCGCCCGCTTACTTTTAGGTACTTCCGTCCGTTTTACCTAGGAGTAGCACCGCGCGCGGGTTGAGGACGCGCGTAGCACGCCCACGAGCCGGCTCCGCCTCCGCCCGTCGGTACTGGATCGTCACCCAGTACCGCTCCGGGGCGTCGAGGCGTAGAACCGCCCGCGCGTGCGCGCGTCCTCCCCGATCCCGCTCTACCACCGCTACCTCGAGCCCGTGCTCGGTACCGTGGGT